TTTTTTTTTTAATGTGGGTCAAATATGGCTCATGAAAGATGTGGCTTAGTTGAGGTTGAATTAAGGCTGATATCAGGAACCTGTTCTGGCCCAGCGTCGGGCCGGAGTAGGGTCGGATATGGTTATACAATGCGGCTCAGATCCGGGCCGAATGCGGCCCGGATCATGGATGCCGGACCCGGGCCACTGCAGGACCGTCATTCATTGCGGTATGTGGGCCGAGTGTCGTGCCGTGTCCGCGCCAGAGCTGGGCCAGACCAATTTTGCTGACTGGGTGAATGCCCAAATTAAAAAACAGGTCATGTTGTGCAAAATTGGTCTGGCCCGGCTCTGGCGCGGACACGGCACGACACTCGGCCCACATACCGCAATGAATGACGGTCCTGCAGTGGCCCGGGTCTGGCATCCATGATCCGGGCCGCATTCGGCCCGGATCTGAGCCGCATTGTATAACCATATCCGGCCCTACTCCGGCCCGACGCTGGGCCAGAACAGGTTCCTGATATCAGCCTTAATTCAACCTCAACTAAGCCACATCTTTCATGAGCCATATTTGACCCACATTTAAAAAAAAAAAAGTCTCAAAAACAACTGTTATAAAAATATGTTTATTGTCATAATTTGCGAACCTCACATATAACTCCACATACACTGGAAAAATGCACTTTTCTTTATTTAACAGTGAACACAAAGTCCAAATTGGGATGCAGCTTCCTCTTGAACGGTATTTTTCTATCCATCATTGTTGCGCTCTCCATGCACTCTTTTCTTCTCATGCTTTCCTTCCTGTCACCATCCCGATCAGGAGCCAGATGTAGCCATCTTGTGATTGTGACATCAATTTCCTGGTCTGAGGCCCAAGACGTTAAGGTGTTAGGTCTCACAGCGGCTGTTAGAACTGTAAGAAAACAAGAATGGATAGTGTGTTCGGAAAACAAACATTTGTACATGTCATGAACAATGAATGGTCACTAAAAATAACCCTTGAAATTTCTTATAATAATAAGAATAATACATTTCATTTATAAGCGTCTTTCAAGACACTCAAGGGCACTTTACAACCAAAACTAAACTAGGTGTGACGCTGTGGGGCAGAATATTTGCCACCAAAAACTCAACGTGAATAACTTTTGAATAGTTTATACTAAATTTGAATTACATGAATTGAAGTTAAGTGTATGGAAAATGGATGTACTTGTATATTTTACTCTGAATCATATTGAATAACTGAATCTGAATTGTACAATCTGAATTTTAAACGAGACTTTTTTCTTTGAAACTGTATTTGAGCCTCACTGAAAATTAAATTCTGTTTATTTTCATATTCAGTCTTAAAAATACAAAACTTAATTTCAATGTCAGATTTTATTTTTGAATTGAGGTACTAAGTTTTAAATTAACTTTATGGTCAAGTATTAAGTATCCAGTTTGTATTGCAGCAAACGGAATCAAAATTAATTTCATTGTATTTCAGTGCAGAAAGGATTCTTTTTGGCAGCACCCCTGACTGTTCAAGCACCTACATTTCATAAACTCACATGCACACGGAAACTGTGACGCAGCAGGTTCACGCCCAGCCTATGTGATATTATATAATAATATTAATATTTCCCTATGCCACCATGAAGAAGTCATATCTGTGCTTGGAGCACAGAATGCCCCCCCCCCCACGCCCTCATATCGGGCTAATGCTAATCATCATTATTAGCGCCCTTCAAAATTCAGGCTAAACTCTAGACAGAATGGTCTTCGCATTGTAACTGTCAGTATACTGTCACAAAGAACAAATGTTAACCTAAGCATGAAATAAATTTACTCACCAGTCTTTTCCAGTGGCGATTGCTCTCGGACTGCAAGGGAAGCTCAGCTTCCCCTAAAATGTCAAAGAATAAGTGATCAAATATATGAATGTAAATTTCATTGTGTGTACATGTCATTAACAAAATATGCGCTCCAACGTGCTCAACTTTTGTTCCGAATCATCTTCTTCTTACTAGGTACGACACGACTCCCTTCTCATTCAGTCCCGCAGCTTCGCTGGGCTTTAAACAGTGGACTACCCGGACGCCAAGCGTCTCGAGATTCATGGTTGGTTGTCCCAATGCGTTGAACGGAGACAAGTCATTGGATACAAGCTGGTATTTGTCCCGCCCACGGGCGCTCGGCCTCTCTG